AGAGAGAGAGAGAGAGAGAGAGAGAGAAGGTGGACTGTGGATGTTGGTCCTCGGATTTCTCGGGTTACCCCGGAGGATAGATACGAATTTCCGGTGTTCCTGCTAGCTACAAACTCGTATGTGTCCCTCCCATTTTCTTCCATGTTTGCACGCGCATATCTGTATAAGTATTTATATACACTCGCCCTAAAAGTATATGTATCAATATATCTAATGTTAGCATATTCCGCTATTCTATACAAGAATACTTACGTTATATATTGTTAAATTCGTAATGTCAAATTTGAGTTATTTCATCATTTCTATAAGTCGCTCTACACACTGACCCTACTTAGGGTGCATTCCATTTTGGGCTTACAGCAATTATAATTAGTTTATAATTATACATAACGGAATTCTGGTTGATACAATATTTCTGATAAAATCTACTAGAATTCTTATTTTTATCAGAATAATTATATTACTCAGAATTCTAGTTATTTCAACTAGAATTCTAATAAACTTAACCAGAAAATTTTGATTCGTCCATTTTCCATCAGAATTACTATTTAATCCAATCAGGCCATTTTTCTCAGTATACATACCTTCTAAAGTCTAAAGAATAACGGTGTAAACGTAACACCATGCAGTGTCTATATAATTCTCAATGTGTTATAGTTAAATTAACACCAATGTAGTATGGATTTAACACCATGGGTTTTAAATCTACACACCCATGGCGTTAAATTTACATTGATGGTGTTGATATAAAAATACTTGAGGTTTTTTAAATCTACACCATGTTGATGTTAATTTAACATCATGGTGAGACCAACATGGTGAGACATCGATCGTGAATGTTAAAACCACACCGATTTTTACACACATTTTTTAGAGTGTATGTTAATATAGACGTTGTTTACGTTGAATTGGCCACAGAAATAGATTCATATTTTGACACATATGGAAATTAAAAATGACAAAATGTTATTTAACTCAAGTGATTAGGTTACCATTGCTTCTTTGATATCTAATAGTGTGCAGTCTCAAATCTACGTATCGTCATATGACATTGTCTCCAATTTAAATATCGGCATTCGCATTTGGAAAAAAATGTGGAAACTATATTGTAACAATATGTATTGTATCGAAAACTAACCTAAATAAACTTTAGGTAATAATCACTCTTTATTGCTGTAAAACGTTGCGAAAACCCGAACTCTGATTTTGCTCATTGGCCGCCGATTCCACCAGCAAACTCTCAAAGAAACTCTCGAAAGTAGCTCTGATAAAAGACATCGTGGAAGAGGCGCACCAGCGATTTCCCGATGTCGACGGGCCAAAGGTAGCTCGTTACCGATAACGAGTAAAAGCCTCGTCGGGCGTATTGTGTAAGGCCGAATAATAGTCCGTCCCTCTTGCACCAGCTCCGGAAAAAGAAGTGCCTCGTGTGGCCTGCGGGCCACGTGTCGTTTGGTAAAACCCGGGGAAATCGTATCACCGGAATTTCCAAGCGAGAGATGCCGAACTTGCATCTCATGCAAATAAACGGCCGCCGATGCGATAGGCAAATTTCAGTCGATTGTACTTAAACTGCGCGATTATCTTCAATCCGATTAAACGGGTTAACGTTTAAAAATTCCCTGCAAATGCGAACGCGGAATGCGGGATGCGGGATACGGGATGCAACAACGTAACGTGCCGCATGAGGACTGCAAGGCAAGTCGGTTTTGCCTCTCTATCCTCGTTCTACATTACAAATTCGCGTCGGTTTCCGTGGAGAGCTTAAACTCTCAAGTGCTTGATGCATATTTTATGCACTCTCGACATGTGAGTTATAATATTCGAATAATTCCTATAAGAGATCGTCGAAGAGGAAATGATTCTCTTTTTCGTCTTGAAATCTTATTAAGGATGTATGTGTCACGTTTCAAAGCATTACCATGAATATAAAAATTTCACAGATTGTTCTACTATTACAGCTGAATATGCAAAATTTGAACACAGTTTTCATACTGATTTTTGAAATTATTTAATTTTCTTGTTTTCCCCTTAATTCTTATGTAAAATCGCATTTTGTAGTATTTATACTTGCAAATTTAATAATATCGTAAAATTAAAAATTAAAGCAAATTTTTATATCTATACTAATAAAATTCTAATAAACATTCATGCAAAAGTTTATATTTGGAGTCACTTATTTAAAAATTATTTATTTAAAACTGCAAGAAAATATGGTCATTTCGCTGCATAAAGCTATTAAAAGTAAGATTATTTATTTTATTTTTTGTAGTTGATTTCAGGACGTATTCATGATAAAACATTTTTGGCTGATATTAATTGATATTGACTTTT